CAAGTTGTGAAAGGAAATTATCCTGTATTACATCTAACAGTAGCTCGTAGTTAGTAGAATTGTTGGTGGCCCTGATTTTTAGCCAGTCCACATCACGTAAATTAAAATCGCCCACCAAAATCATTTCAGATGTCGAGAGGTCATCTAGGGCTTGTTGTAACTCTTCCAAAGGTTTGGTAGGAGGGTCTGTAGAAAGCGCCTAAGGTGATTTTGCGGTTGATAGCAAGATGTAAATCCGTGAAAATTAGTTCAGAGTCACATAATACGTCGCTTTTAAGCGAAGCTTATATAGAATCGCGAACTGCTATCAAAACGCCTCCTCCGAGGCGACCACGGAACTTTCGATCACGTCTAAAGATCGTGTAGTTCGGAGGAAAAATCTCGCCATCTGCAATAGAGCTGTCCAAATGTGTCTCGACTAGGACGACAACGTCGCAAGCCTTATCGGCCAAATATAGCCCAAGCAGGTCAACCTTATTCATAATGCTTCTAGCATTAGCGTAGAAGAATGAGATATTATTCCGAGGGAAACGATGATCCGCTTGGCGTCCGGTACTTGCATGAGCGAGCGAAAGGCCGGGCTGTGGATGAACATCACCACTCAGCGTGATTGCAAGCACTTGCGGATTAAAAGAGGAAGAACCATTACCTGTATACAGAATTCTCTGTTGAAAAATTTCTTTCTAACGTAAATCCTGGTGAAGAGCTGATGATGGACCACGGGAGACACGCGAACAAGTAGGTCAACGAAGTGAACATTTGAATTCCACGGTGCAAGATGGCCGATATGGAGTGTCCAAGCCGGCCAAGAGTGAACTTTGCGTGTCGAGGTCAATGCTCCAGTCACATGAAATTGTGAAAAACAAAAAGCAAATGGACATGACTTATGAGAAGGGTTACGGTGAGAGTTATTCTCAAAAGGGTAACACAGGAAAAGCAATAACAGTTGCGCTGCTCAAAAGTACACGACCGTCCATGTTGGTTACCATGAGCATTTAACAATAAACAATTGCGATTTCTTAAAATCATTTTAAGATTAAAAAATTGCTAAATGACGACGACGTTTTGATGTTAGCTTATCGACATTATCAAGTCAAAATATGTTTGTGAGTTTCTGTCAATAAATACTAAAAAACAATAGCTGATTAAAAGCTGTAACATGAGAAAAAGATGATTAAAATATCAAACAAAAGGTTTCGCACGTATGGAGTCCGTTTGGATATTTAAATTAGGCTTAAGATTCTTGATGAAGAGCATTTTAAATACTAAACAATCAAATTTGCCCTGGCACTTTCTCAAAACTGTGAATTGGTTTTCCTTCAATAGGTTGTTGTTACCGTGAGTTTCTAACAGATTTCTACCGATTGCCGAATTTTTGTGCTAAGCAATGGGTTGATGAAGGTGTCTGGCCGTGTATCTGACATAATCTGCATCACACAGATCACATGAAAAAAGGTAAACAACGCGCTGCATATTAATAATTGACAGATTAATTTCTTTGAGTTTAAGATCTTGCCCCAATTTCTTCTTCACCAATCTTATAGCTAAGATCGCGTAACTGCTTTCGAGCTGCATTGGAGGCCACTTGATCTTTAAATGGATGACTAATTCTTACCAAGCTACTTTCCTCATTGTTTCTTTCTGCTTTGTTAGTTGAAGTATTTCGAAAAAGAAAATTGTTGATAGCAGAATCAAAAAGACTCATCAGATAGTCAAGGTGACTAAATATAAAGTGCAACTTGGCACATTCTACATTGAAAGCCTCTGTTGTAAATGACAAGGCATAGGCACGATGTATCATTGTCTTTAATAAAGAGTCTTTACAGTGTCACATCAGTGTGACTTTGGAGGTGCAGTAGCAATCCAGTGTTTGTTGGTTTTCTGTAAACTTGAGTTCCAAGTTTAGTTCCGTTCTTGACGATTTCAATGCCGATGAAAGGGATCTTGTTATCCACAGGAAACTCCATCGTAAAAGTTAGACTGGGGTGTAGGCCATTCAGGATACTAAGAAACTCAGCAGCAGCATCAGCACTCGCCATTCTAGCCAGGGTATCGTCGACGTACCTCTTGTATAACTGCAGGGGCATCAAGCCATTGTGTGTAAGCTTTTCTTCAAGATGACACATGAAGACTTTGGCCATTAGAGGACCAAGGGGCGAGCCCATAGCCACACCATCTTTCTGTTGGTAAAGTTGACCATTAAACTGGAAAAGCTGATTGGTTATGGCAATTTCGAGTAGTCTAGCAAGCTGATCCTGTAGCAGATTAAGGCCATAGGTTTTGTTAAACCAATCATCAGTGAAGGCTTTGTTGACTAAGATTTTGATAGTCTCATCCAAAGGCACACTGGTAAGAAGAGCTGTGATGTTGTATGAGACCAGTATGTCATCTTCATTCATAGTATGAGTACGAATCTCATCAGCGAAACTGAAGGCATCGATGATTGTATACTCATTTAGAGAAAGTGGCTTCAGTTTTTGTTCAAGCCATTTCGCAAGATTGTAGTTGTAAGTTCCAGTTGCTGATAAAGTAGGCCTCTTACTTATTGTGGCTTTGTGAGTCATGGGTAAGCCATAAAGATCAGCGAGCCTGGAACTCTTAGGAGAAAGTGAATTGGCAATTTCTTCAGACAGAATTTGATGTAAAATTTCGTGCAACTCTTTCTCTTTCTGAAGGAGCGGGTGGAAATGTTTGGGTTGTCATCCACGCATTTTAGGTCTCTTTTCATCAACATGTGTACATTTAGAGGTGTTGTCAACTGAAGCAGCGCTTAGTAGGCGGATGTATTCGGGTTTGGCCATGACTAAAACCCCAGAACCTTTATCGGGCTTCGTGATAACGATGTCGTCACATTTCTTACAAGAGCCTTAGGTGGATTAGGGCTTGTATGCTGAATGTAGTTCAAAGCGATCGAACGTAACGTTGAGCTAGCCAGTTCATTTTCATCTGCATATTCCAATAATAGCTTTATTCTCCAATATGCCTTCTCAAAGCTGGCTTGAATTTCAATGGGTGAAACTTTTTGAGGTACAGAAAACTTCAATTCTCTGCAAAGGAAAGGTTTTTCGAAGAACGAAAGGCGGTAAGAAGACACGTTGTTTCAAAGGCGGCCCAAGCTCTCTTTGAGAACCACACAAGGAACAAAATTTGCATATCGATTTATAAGGATTTGTAGGGGATTTTCTACAAGATATCCATAGAGATAGTTAAAAGTGAAAATATTAAATAAAAATGGCTTACCTAATTCCATATGTGTGTTGTTTGCTCCTGGTGTCGTTATTTTACCGATTTCACTTGATTTAAGCGGTTTTCTTGAATCCTGGTTTTCTCTTCTTAATTTGATTGTTTAGTATTTGAAATGCTCTTCATCAAGAATCGTAAGCCTAATTTAAATATCCCGACGGACTCCATACATGCGAAACTTTTTGTTTAATATTTTAATCATCTTTTTCTCGCGTTACAGCTTTTAATCACCTATTGTTTTTTAGTATTTATAGACTGAAACTCACAAACTTATTTTGACTTGATAATGACGCTTAGCTTACGTCGAAATGTCGTCGTCTTTTTAGCAATTTTTTAATCTTAAAATGATTTTAAGAAATGTTTTATCGCAATTTTTTATTGTTAAATGCTTTTCAAAATCACTTCTTGTTCGTATACAAGTAATGAGAATATAGAAAATTATCAATTAAGGAAGTTTTAGTTGATCCTGTACCAAAATCTCCAAACCAACATCATAAAAATTGTATGATAGACAGTAAGGAGAATTTCTAATCAGATTTTGGGAGTGAAAGGGTTAAGACAATGCATGTGACAGTGTTCCAGATAAGAGGCGAGTCTCGGGTCAAAAACCCGACGGCAACCGCTACCTGACCCGACACTGACGAAAAAGAAAATCAGCTTATATAGAAAAAAGTACTCATATAAATTAAAATACTATAATTATGAAAGAAAACAAAAGTAAATATAAGAGTGAAGTTTCTAATGAAAAACGATCAAACAACAATAACTAATACAAGATATCAAGGAAAAGAAGTTTGAAAAAACGAATCAACAAAATTCCAAAGGCGACTTGACTTGCGAATCATTTGGTCCCCTGTTAATTTAGCAAATAAAAGAGAACATGCCCCTGAAATAAAAATTGCCTTACTGTGGCATTGTCAATTTCCATACTTGTTAGTTCAGGATAAAATAAATACAGCTCGATGATCTCACAAAAGCTCAAGAAACTGAGAAACTATTCATCTGATTCATTCGTGGCGGCTCTGACTCGTGTGATTTTCTCCTTGGTTACCTAGCACGTGATCAATTTCTTCCCCGATCGAAGTTCATTTCTTTGTAAACAAGATTGCATAAGTTTACAATAACAGCAGCTGGACCCAACAGGCCTACTATCGATGAAAATTTTGGAGAAAATTCGTTGTCTAATCCTTAGAACTTCTGTAAATAATCTGCCAAAAGTCGGGTCTGTAAAAGCTCAGTTCGTTAAGTTTTTGTTTTTGTCTGTATAACGTCACAATAAGGTCTCAGATGACAGTGGAGTGGATTGGGACTAGTTTACACTGCAGTCCGAACTGTTGCATGCAAAAATAAGCTGCTAGTGTTTGATGTAAATGCAAATGCCACACTTCGTTGTTCATTTTTGCTCTGCATTTTTCAGAATGTATACTAATTGTATTAAACATGGCCTATAGTACCAGACAACATTCTGAGGTATCAAATAGCAAAAATTTTTAGATTACCGAAAGACAATCCTTTATCTGTTTTCCCAACAACCCCCCCCCCTAGCTTTGCGTAGTGCTGCAGCTGTGGCTGTGGTTGGCCAGGTAGACCTACTTTGTGCGACCCCCTGAAAAATTACATGAATCTTTGCCAAAAAAAATTAACTGGAACACTGCGAAGACCTTAAGATTTCGCTTTCGGCAGTACTCTTTTAAAGCATCAACATACTAGGCTTGTACTTAAGCATAAGAAAGCTCTTTGGAGCTCATTTTAGACCTGTAGTAAAGCAGATGTCAAAGCAAAGGCAGCATATTCTCCTCAGTTACTTTAACACTTTGAGTGTTGATTGACCTTTGTTAAACCTCTGACCCCTCAGACCAAAATCTAGTTTCTCCCTACAATATCACCCCTGAGTCACATGTGAAGATCACAAGAATAAAGGAAATGATCACTAACCACAGAAGCCCTTGACTGTTAAACATATTCTTCTTGCCATTTTTATAGGAAACATACAGAGAACATGTGAAGGTGTAGTCTGATCGTCCGGGTGAGTGTAGTCCTAAGAAGGACTGTTGTCGGTGGTAGTGACTGACGTTTCGACAACCTGTGTGGAAGTCATCATCAGAGTCAAGTGATGATGACTTCCGGACAGGTTGTCGAAACGTCAATCACTACCACCGACAACAGTCCTTCTCAGGACTACACTCACCCGGACGATCAGACTACACCTTCACATGTTACCCCCGGGTTCAAACCATTTACTGCAATACAGAGAACAGTGTGGAGAATATGCACTTTGAGGTTAGGGTGTAAAGGGTTACACATGCTGCATCTTCTCCTTTTTCCCCAGTTTATTCTGTCGGTGGTCACTCAAAACTCTTTAGGTGATCATTAATTAGCCCTTGAGTCTCACCAATGAGTCCTTGCTATAAGACTAAAGTTGTTTGGCGAGGAACACTCAGGCACAGTACAAAGCTGCTATTCCGTAGGAGTCCCAAAATATTCCTTACGTGATTAGATGGCTGCCCTTCAGTATCTCAAGCGAACCCTTCTCATAAAGAAGAAAGTTGTTCAGAGGAACACTCAGACATAGCTCAAAGCTTCCATTTTGTAGGGGCCACTCAACATTCCTCAGGTAATCATACATCAGCCCTGTAGTGACCACTTCCGGTTGTCGTTTTGTTACCTGTCAATCATGTAATTTCCCTGTTAGTAAGTGAGAGAGAGCAGAGCTCGGCGCCGTTGTAAAAACTTGGAGTTCAACAAATAAATCGTTTCGTGAAATAACATTCTAGCGTGCAGTCAATACACTACAAGCCCTTCAGTCTAAACAGCGAGCCCTTGACATAAGAAGAATGTCGCTCGGCGAGGACCACTCAGACACAGCTCAAAGCTACGATTCCGTGGGGGTCACAAAATATTCCTTAGGTGATTATACAGCTGGCCTTTAGTCTAAACAGTGAGCCGTTGACATAGGAAGAAATTTGTTCAGTGAGGAACACTCAGACACCCTTGCAAAATGGATTTTAGAATTCCTAGGAGTTCCTAGGAATAAGGGGTGTGAATTTTCACAGTAAATTTGGACCAGGAATTCCTAAGAATTCCTGGGAATCCCAGCTGCAAACACTCTGGTTCTAAAAACCTAGAAATTCCCAGAAATTCCAACTTTATAGCAAATAGCACTTGGAATTCCTAGGAATGCCTAGGAATTCCAATTCAGAGTACCAATCACTTCCCTGAAAGGCTCTAAATCTAAAAACTTGCCAGAAATTCTTAGGAATTACTGGGAATTTTAGGAAACTTTGAGGCAGCTAATATTAAAATAAATACTCGAGTTAACTCCCGACTAAAAACTTGCATAGTCAAATGAAATTTATTTACATGCTTAACTCAGGTTTGTAGGATTCCACGTGCGAATTTTTATAGCTTATCATTTATGCATGCTTTAGAGCTATTTAAACGGTATGGCTTGTTAGCGCCCATATATTTTTTTTCAATTGCTCTCTAGCCGTTTCGTTGCCAATCTCAGACTCTCAACCTATGCTTCAGCGCTACAGTCAGGAAAACATTTGTAAGTCTTTAATTCTGTCTTATATGTTTATTGCCGCTCGGCCCTTCTTCTCAGTACTTTTGAGCTAACCGCCTCCCGGTTAGCTCAATTGGTTAGAGCGCTGGACTGTTGTGCGGGAGGTCGAGGTCGATGGTTCGAGCCCCGGCCGGACCAACACTCAAGGTCTTAAAATAACTGAAGAGAATGCGCTATCTTTCTTTAATAAGAAATGGATAGACATTCTAGTCTTCTTGGATAAGGACGAATAAACCGTAGGTCCCGTCTCCTGCATCTATTAATTAGATAATTTGGCTAGGCAGGGGACGTTAAAGAACCCACTCAAGAGATCACTGTGATGTGGTCTGGCCTGTTTACTGGGAATTGCGGGGAGGGGGCATCCTCAAATAAGTTTCCTTCGATTGTTTGTAAACTGCTGATGCAGTCTGGTCAAAGTCCCAAGAACAGTGTTGTGATGCGCATTTGATCATATTGACATGTTAATTTGCGCAATATAGATATTAAATTATTATTATTATTATACTTTTATTAATTTTTCTAGTCGAACCTCGCTCACTCACTCGCAAATCACAAAGCTCAGTCGGCTCCTCGAGTCGCCTCAACCGAGCGCGAGTTCGAAAGATTCCAAGACGTAGTATCAGCAAGAACTGCAAGCTACAAGGTTTACATGTAAAATATTTTCAATGGTATATTAAATTCAACATGTAGTAATATTAGGATGCAGTTTGATTTCTTTTTTCTTTTCTTGGAAACTATATGAAAACTAACCTCAAT